GGTGCAGAGCGAGGCCAGGGGGAGCTCTGGACCAGCACCAAGATGCACAGTCAGTTCTGCCTGTCTCATGTCACTTGTCTCATGTCACCTGAGCAGCAGCCGTGTCCTGCTCTCCTGCTCCTTGGAGGCAACTCTGAGCTGCTGCTTAGTGAGGCTGCTCGTGGCTTCCTTGCAGATCACAAAGTAAACCTTAGCAAAGGAGTGCTGGGGTCTGTGGGTGAACCCTGGGAGCAGAGATTCATCATATGGGAAACAAAGAGGAGCCCAGTTTCATAGTACAGGATTCAGCTTTGGAGTGTGAGGGGGGACAACATGACTATGGGACCCAGTGCTGGGAGGGGCAAAGCCACGGGGTGACAGCATGGCTAGGGCAGATTAAGGGTGCAGTGGGAGTCCAGATGTGCATCACAATCTGAGGGATGTGTGCCAGCTGAGAGGGGGGCACTGCTGCTGCCAAGTGCTAGGGGGTCCTGGGAAGTTCTCTTGGACTTTCTCTGCCCAAATCATCAGGACCTGGCTCACTTTCATGGCAAAGGCTGTGACCATGGACCCTGGATGCCTGTCAGTGCTGAATTAACTCTGGCAGCTCTCAGAGGCTGCTGCAGGAGACTGGGAAGGAAGGAGGCACTTGAGCACCAGCAAACTGCCAAGCTGCCTTCGGGAAAGGCTGGGGGACCTGGGATGGGAATGCACATTTGGGCAGGACAGATAGGGAGAGATGGGACAGGGAAGCACAAAGAGTCAGGATAGGCAGCCTCAGGGGTCTGCAGCCACAGCAAGAGAGCTGCTTTCAGACAGGAAGCACTGTGCCTGAGCCAGGATGCCATGAACAGTTAGACCCACAAACCCTGCCAGGCAGAAACACTGAAAGCAAAGAGTGTCTCATTAAACAGACTCTGTGGCAGCCAGCACCAGGCCTGGCAGAGGAGTGTGACAGTCACATCACCATGACTGTGAGGCATCTGACAGAACAAACGAGGTACTGCATTAACATGGCAGCTTTTTGAAATATCTGCGGGAACTGACCCTTCTCTTTGCAAAGGCTTCAGGCAGCACCAACTTTGAGGGCAGCAGAGGGACGGACATCTGTGCAAGAGAGCACGGAGGGCAAGCAGGAACACGTGTGTCCTGATACATACTGGAGGAGAGAAGGGAATGCATTTCCTTCCCATGCCCCTCCTGACAGCCAGATCCCATGCTCAGACTGCAAGTGTCCAGCAGGCAGTAACACACACAAATCATAGAATTAAAGAATGGTTTGGGTTGCAAGGGACCTTAAAGATTATCTAGTTCCACCCTTCCTCTACCATGGGCAGGGATGCCAACCACTAGACCAAACCTGGCCTTGAACATTTGAAATCCCACAAGTCTCCATGCAGCAGCTGTGCCATGATGGGCAGGGGCTGCCAGCCAGGGGATGGGCATGCAGGTGACTCTGACACCTCTGTGACCACTGTTTTGCAGACATCAAACCAAGTATGACCTCATGTTTACCCCTGAGAGCTTTGTGGGAGCTCAAAACAGCTGAACATCCAGCTTTTAGGTCAGCCTAGCTGTAGCCTAGCCTGGGAACAGGCCAGCTGCCTGCACTGCAGCTGTCCCAGCCCAGGGTCACAGAGGCTGCTTCCCAGGTCCCTGGCTGATGTGACTCCACTTGTGGCAGTAGGACAGGAGTGCTGAGGCCGGACCAGACACTAGGGCACAACCTGATTCCCTTTCACCTGGAGGAAGGACAGTGCTGGTGCTGTGGCACCATCCTGGGACTCAGCGCTGAAATCTGCACCTGCCGTGTGGATTTCCTCTCTTGGACCCTTCGCTGACTTCTTCTCTGCCTCAGTGCCCACAGCTGTACAGCGAAACCCACAAGGTTTCCTCTGAATGAACTTTAGTGGCAGCAGTGCCCACAAGTGACTTTCATGGCCCAGCGCCCCTGTTTCCCCTCACTGCAGCGCTCGTGGGGCAAGGGCCAGTCTGCATGTCAGCAGCTGCCTGTGGTCCATGGGGAGAGTCAGGGGAGGACTGACAAGCCAGAGAGCATTGTGCTCCTGGAGAGCACTGTGCAGGGGAGTAGCATGTGTGGGTGCAAGCTCTGACTTCCAGCTGCAGGGAGAAGACTTTTCTCCAAGGTGTGGCCACACTGATGGGGTCCCTGTTTTAGAACAGGATGGAGAGCTCTTTGCACCACAGATACGCCTTTGGAAACAGGAATCCCAAATAAAAGGGGCAGGTCGTAGGACTATTGTTGGTGGTCTTCAAGCATGCTGATGGATGCTTTGCAATAGCAGGCAGGGGCAAGCAAGATGTCAGTGTATGGCCCCTCCACACACACCACGAGACTTAGGGGAAGATGGGGAACTGAGCTCAGTGCAAGAATGGGCTGAGCATGTTCCCAGAAAGGGACTGCCTGCTGGTGACAGCCACAACATGCTTTGTTTCCGTGACCCTGTGCAATTACCAAAGATTGAAAAGTCCAGGGGCATCTTGTTCAGCTGCAGAAAGGGGAAATATGTGGAAATGAGGAAACTCAGATAAAACGGGCCTGTAAGAAACAGCACAGTCACACAGTGTCCAGCAAGCTTGCAAAGATTTAAGGCAGCCTTTCAAGGCTCCTGGTATAAAAAGGTAGAGAGAAACCAGCAGGAATAATCACCAGGTCCAGAGGTTATTCAAAACAGAGATGTTCCTTCAAAGAGAAGAAGTCATGTCTAGATGACAAAAATAGTATAAGTCAGGTAAGATGTAAAAGCTTGTCAAGACAAACAGAAAAGAGAGCAGAGAACAGCCTGCAGAAGCAGCCAGCAACCCTTTTTGCCAACACTTCAAGAGCTGCCACAATGTCTGTAGGGTCACTGGGAGAGCATGTCCTCACAGCGGAGGAGTGACATCCCCCAGGGTGACACGATTGCTGCTAAACATGGCTCAAATGCCAGCACACTGCAAGGTTTGGGGCAAAATGGGACACATGCATGGCAGCGTGCCTGGACCCTGGCATCACAGCAGGACACAGCTCCTTGCCTACACCTGCTGAAATCCAGCCTGCCCACCCTCCCAGCTGTGCCAGTTCTTCTGGGTGCAGCTGTCTGCGTGGCTTTTGGTTTGCCTGGTGTGACCAGAACAGATAGCTGTTGGACCCACTGGGGAAGGTAAAACTCGTTTGCAACGCCCTGCCATCCTCCCTGCAAGAGCCCGGGTTACACTCAAGGCTGAATTTTTCCAGTGTAGAGCAAGGGCAAGTGCAAAGAATGAGAGAGCCAAGGAGCAAGAGAGTGAGAGAGCTTCCTTACAACTGCTTGGGCCACTTCCTCCATGGCTTTTGAGGTTTCACATGAGGCAATGAAGGGTTTCTAGAGAGGGCAGATAACTGTTAATATCAGAGGTGACAACCACTATGCTGGGAGTGGTGCAGAGAGGGACTGGGGATGTGATATTTTTTTAGTACTTTATGAAATTTTCCCACTCCTTTTCCAAAGATCCTCAAAATGAAGACCCTATTCCTACTGACAGAGTTTGCTTTTGCAGCCTTTTAATTTTTTTTCTTGAAAGACCCAGAAGCATGAAGGGGCAGGGAGAGCTGATGTCCGAGTTGCTGGAGACAGAGAAGCAGTTGCTTCCCCCCACCCTACAGACCTTGCAGATACCTGAGGTGGAGCACAGCTACCTCCCAGGTACCTCTCAGGCTGTGCCCTGCTGTGATGCCAGAATCCTGGCTGTGCGCTTCTGCCCCAGGGCATTTCTGCCAGGACAAGTGTGTTTGAGTACATAGACAAGGGAGAAGAGGCTGATACTGCCTTTCTGAGCATAGCAGGGCACAGGGAAGGTGGCTGGGCAGTCTCCAGCTCTGTTCCTGAGAGGTAAAAGACTGCTGGAGTATCTGCGCTCAAGCACATCCTATAATTACAGGGGGGAAAAAATAAAGATAAAATAAGACCTTTACCATCTTTTGCTCAGGGTTAAATTTTTGGGGTGGCAGGAGACAGTGTATTTGGAGAGGGTTGCCCTGCACTGGACTGCTTGATGCTGCTGAATGAAGATGCTACACCATGTGCAAATCAACAGAAGGTAGAGCCTGAGTACCAGGCATGGGAGTACCCATCCTTGCTGAAGAGCACAAGAGAGGAAGGCCATCACAGGGCTGCAGCTTGGCTGTGGAGCTTCAGAGAAGACTTCAGGACTTGTTTTTCTCCCAGCTGTGTGTTTCAGCTGGCATGAGGGCCAAGTGCATCCAGCAAGGGCTGCTGGGTGGCTGAGGAAGCACAAATTCATGAATCCTGCCCTGGATCACTTCTGCTGCTATGGCCAGTGCCACCAGCCTCCAGCTGCACAGACAATCTCCCCAGCAGCCCCTTTTCTGCCCACTGCCATATGCCTGTGCTGCCTTCTCACACCTTCAGGGTCATTCCTGCTCACATGTTAACACATGTGTTAACAACACAACGTGCCATAGCACTTGAGCTGCAGGTCCCCAAGACTCCAGTTGGCTTCTTTCCAAGCATATGCTGTCGTTGAGTCCTGAGCACCCAGACACTTCTACCAAAACATTGGCTTTCATGACCATGGCACACACTGCCAGGTAATTAAACTCATCTATGCCCTTTAGAAGTCCATTTTAGCACAACCCTTATCAAGTAACAAGGTGAAGGTTGTCCTGATCCAGTCTCTGCTTGACTGAGTACGGATGCCACATTTTCCCGCAAAAGCCCAGGCATGAACGAGCACACCTCACAAGTCTTTCTGGGACTGCTGATGTCTGTGCTGGGAGAGGAGGCAACCCAGCTGTTGTGGTTAGTAGCTGCTCCTGCCAGAAAGCCTGAAAACTGTGGTTTTTAGACAAGCAATTGGAGAGCAGTAAGATTGCAAAAAGGCACGTGAAGCTGCCACAATGCACAGAAGAATAAAGGCGGTGCTGACACTGGCTGAGGTTCCCTCTCCAATGAGGAAGCCTCTTGCACCATAAGTGATTTCTCTGCGTTCCTGTTTCCTTTCTGTGCTTGCACCTCTCACAGTCAGACGGATGTGCAGTGAAGCAGCCAGTGGGGCTGAGAACTCAGTCCTGCCCTGGGAACAATCATGGCCCTGCGATGGATATTTCTCCTGCTCCTCACACCTCTGCTGGCAGAAAAAGAGCACGATGAGCTAGATCTCAATGACTATGGAGAACCCCAGGAAACAGGTAAGAAGCACTCACTCCTCTACCTGTAAGAGAAGGTTTGGCTGTGCTCCTGCTGCAGGGCTGCTGGGCATCTTCATCACGTGCAGGATACAGCAGCTTTATCAGAGAGGTCTGATATCCATATCGGGGCCCAAGGCTATTAGCTGGGTTGTGGTGAGGTGGAGCTCTGTTGGGGATGGAAGGCAGCAAACCTTGGGGTGCTGGGAAAGCCTCTGCAGGGTCTGTAATGTTCCTCCATGGAGCTGGGAGCATGAGTTGGCTGTCTGTCCTTGCACGGTGTGCAGATGCCATGTCCTCACCAAAGTGGAGACGGGTGCTGGTGCCCAACAAAGAGCTGGAGAGCTGCAAGCTGAGCCCCTGTCCAGGAGACCTTGGAGGCAGGAGTTATAATGTTTTGGGATTGCTCTTTAATGGGCTTCCTTGGTGCTGGAAGGGTCAGGACACCCCCAGGGCTCTTCTGGGCTCTTCCTACAAAGGCTGCGTGCTTGGATCCCAGCAGAGTCAGTGTGTATCTGCAGGCTCACATGTTATCTGCCCTCCCAGGAGGCTGCACTGTCTGGTGTTTGACTGTGGTCCAGGGGCTGTGACCTTGCATTGTTCTGTGTGTGTCTGAATTGGACTATTTCTCTAAACCAATTTTCTTGGAGCTAGATGATAAAAATCATTAAACAAGCATCTAATCGTGTCATCCCTGTCCACTGTGGGGATGCATCTGGACTGACGCAGGGTAGAGAAAACAGCTGATTAAGTACCCTGGCTATGACAGGGAATGGGACCAGAAACTTTACTTGATGTTGTGAAGTGACATCAGGGTCTGTACTGTGTGATAGGAGTCACAAGAGCTTGTTCCCAGGGAAAATGTGTCCATGTGGCTGCAGAGAGTGTAAGCACAGTACACTGCCACGCAAAAACTAAGGGCTAAATCTGCAACAGAGGATATTCTTCTGCCCCAAGTGGCTTCCCACTGCTCAGATCCCCTTGAAGCTGTTCTCCCAGGCTAGCACGTGCAAGCATGTCCAAGTTCTCCTGTTTGCTTTCAAGGTGCACACTAGGACCAGGACCTGTCTGCACCGTGTACGGTGGGATGCAGCAGGGACTTGTGGGCCAGCAGGCTCTTGACACGCTCTGCAGATCTCAGTCACCCAGCCATCCCCAGAGGAGTCTGGGGCTGCCTGAGACAGAGATGATATTGCTGAGTTTGCACCTTGGTGTTTGTAAAAAGAGGAACCAAGACAAAAACAAGTGGCAGCCGCACCCAGCAGTGCGGGCAGCCCTGCCTGCATCCTCAGCATGTGGGCTAATCCCATCCTGGGACCTGTGCTGAGGTTCCACCTGATGGATTATGGTCCTTCTCCTGCTGAGGGACAGGAAAAGGAGAATGGCCAGGATGGGGCAGGATGGTCCCTCTCATGCCTGTTAGGGTGGAATGGGCTGACAGTGTCAGTGGGGCAGGGTAAAAAGCTGTTGGGCAGAGATGGGGGACATAGGGATGGGATTCCTGAGCACCTCTCATGACCCTGGAAGATATAGGGTATAACCAGGGAGAGGGAACAGCCCACTGGGAACAGTGCCACAGAGAACAGCCCAGGGAAGAACACAGCAGCTGCAGGCAGAGGATGTGGTTGGGACGTATATAAACTTGAGAGCCAGCACAGCACTGTTGTTCTGCTCACTCTGTCACGGGAACACCGTGCGCTGAGCGGAGTGCATTGTCTCATTGTCCTGTTGTCACCTGATTACCTTGCTGTGCTGCTCTCATGGGGCTTTCTTCCTCCCTTAGATGCCACACCTGTATGAAATCCTCATCCTCTTACAGTCCTAGTGCACCTTGGAAGGCAGGTGGAGAAGCTTCTAGAGGATATTTTCTGTGCAAAGGCAGGGCCTGTGATTCCAGCTGGCCCTAACCCCTTTCTCATCAGCCTTGCTTGACAATGCATAGTGATTTAGTGGCAGCTGATGAGAAGCTCTAACTAGGAGCATAGCTGCAATGGCAGGTGAGTAGGAGGTTTCTAGCTAAAATAAAGCCACACTCAATCCGAAAGGTTTTTTGTCAGTCGAATTTCAAACAATGCCTAGAGTAAATCCTGTGGGGAACACTAATGCTGAGAGATACTGTAGATTAGTGCCTTGGGCTTGACATCCTAAGGGCTGTGAACTGTGTGCTCTGCTATGCTTCCACTGCACATCACCAAAGCACAAGCTCAGGAAATGTGAATTTTACCGCCTGTTCTTAAAAACCTGTCAGCTGCATTTTTGCGTGGTGGGCCAGTGCAGGTTAAAGAGTCACCATTTCCCAGCTCTTCCCACGGTGCCTTGTTTAGTGACCTGCTTTGCCTGGCATGACTCCCAAGAAGAGCATCCCCGTGGTCTCTCTGCTCCTTTTCCACCCTCACACTGCCCATCACCCTCAAAAACCCGCTCAGACACTTTGGTTGGTGGTGAGTACAGAGATGGCCCAAGACCTGTGTATGTGTTCTCAGTGGCTTTCAATACAGTCTCCACCAGTGGAAACAGTGATTGCTTTTCTTAGCTCATCTTAGCAAGCACATGTCATCAAACACAACAAGACTACAGCACACTTTGCTGTCACCTCCCTTAGCTGCCATGGGAAAAAGGTTGAACTTTGCCTACTCCTTCTTAGTTTTCACCTTGTCCTTTATTCTTTGTGTATGAGATAATATAATGTGAGAAAGTACATCTTTTGCTGGTAAGCAAAGGGCTGAACCCAGGAGCCTGACCTGAATTACCAGCATAGCTGTTTCTCCTTTCTCCTGATCCTCCCTGACATCTGCTTCTGGGGCATGCTGACGCTTTGTTTTGCCTGCCAGGCTCAAAACTCCCTTGCAGCAGAGACAGGCAGTCCAGATATTTCTGTAAAATGCTTTCTATAGTCATGGGTAATAAATAATAAGAGCAAGGAGGGTATTCATTTAATAGCATCAACAGTAAAAAACTCAAAACAATTAATCTCTGCCTATAGGAGACAAATAGACCAAGCTTTTGCTACCACTCCTGTCTAGGCATTCAGCGTTTTCCGTTTTGCTGCGAGCACACGTTGCACGTTACAAGAGGTGCCTGTTTGGTCACAACTACACCATATTTTCCATACTGAAATCTCACTTGACTCAGTCTCCTTCCTACAGCTGGGGTGGAAAGCCTGTGGGTGGCTTTCTGCATACCACTGTGCAGGGTAAAAAACAGTGTCTGAGGACAGTTTCATTACTCTCCCAGATGCTGTTAGTCCCTACAAGACTGGAAGCTAAGTGCTTCTTTCCCCTTTCTGCCTGAGCATTCTCCTTTCTCCATCAGTGTCCTGGCTTCCCACATACATCCAACTGTTTGGCACAAGTTTTGAGCTCCAACCTGGTGGAGATCCCTTAACAGCTTCTCTTGGCCACAGCCAAAGCACACAAGCAACCAGTCTGGATTAGAGCACAAGCTCCTTTGCTCCAAGGAGCAGTTTTTCCATGGCAGTTGTTATGGAGTGGTTGGGAAAGAAGTGTAAGAAAGTGAGTCAGGACAGAGGTGCCCCCCCTTCCCTGCCCCAGCCTGTGCATCTCAGTTGCACTCAGCAGTCATATATTAGTTTGTCACAATGAGTCTCAAGTGGTAACCACATGCCTGCCAGGCTTGGACTTGTTGAAGATGTGAGGCTGAGTCGGATTGCATTAATCAATGTTTTCAAGACAAAACCAGACGTGCATTGAAAGTGTCTTCTTCTCCCCCTCCTGTGGGGAAGCTTAGCCTCCTAGGCTTCACCCTCAAGCAGAAATCAGAAATGCCACCGGGAAGGACTCTGAGTGGCTGCAGATGCCTGGATACAGATGGTTTCAGTGCTGTGATACCCTACATGACTTCAGCTCCTCTGCAGCATCAAGAATGTAGGCAAGAAGCAGGCCCTGGAAGGGCTGTGATGGCTTGGTCACTGCTAGCAGGGTGCTCTGTGTGCAGAAGGGAAATAGGCTTTGGCAGTCTCCCAGGCTGCCTTCCTGGTGTATGCTGGCCCTTTGCAAGGCAAGCAAGCTGGTTTTGCCATAACCAACCAAGTCACAGGAGGCAAAGGCAGGGACTGTGAGAACGAAGACCACAGTGAGAACGAAGACCACTGTGAGAACGAAGACCACAGTGAGAACGACTTCTCACTGTGGGAGAAGATCAGGTGTGAGACCATCTGAGGAACCTGAAGGTGCACAAGTCCATGGGACCTGATAAAATGCACTTGTGGGTCCTGAGGGTGGAGAGAGTGGCTAAACCAGTATCCATCATATTTGAGAAGTTGTAGCAGGGAACTTCCTGTGAAGCTCCCACTGACTGGAAAAGAAGAAGCATAAACCTTATTTTAAAATAAGGGAAATAAGGGAGACCCGGGGAACTACAGGCCAGTCAGTCTCACCTCAGTGCCTGGCAATATCATGGAGCAGATCCGGCTGGAAACTATGCTAAGGCACATGGAAGTTGTTGGTGGCAGCCCACATGGCTTCACTAAGGACAAATGATGTCTGAGAAATATTGTTACCCTCTACAGTGGGGGTTACAGCATTGGTGGATAAGGGAGGAGCGACTGACATCATCCACCTGGACTTGTGCAAGGCTTTTGACACTGTCCCAGATGACATCTTTGCCTCCAAACTGTAAAGGTGTGGATCTGATGGATAGACCACTCACTGGGGGAGGAGTTGGCTGGATGGTCACACTCAAATGTTGCAGTCAATGGTTCAGTGTCAACTGGCACAGGTTGCCCAGAGAAGCTGTGGATGCCCCATCCCTGGGAGTGTTCAAGGCCAGACTGGACAGGGCTTTGGGCAAGCTGGTCTAGTGGAAGGTAATCCTGCCCATGGCAGGGGTGTTGGAATGAGGTGATCTTCCTTGGGTCTCTTCCAATCCAAGCCATTCTATGATTTTATGATTTTATGAAGGATTGAATTGATCTAAGAGCCTGTCAACAATAATTAGTATAATACTGATATGCCTAATTTCAATTGTGAAGTTTTAACTTTTAGTAAAAAAAAATAAAAATAATAAAAATCATAAAAATCATATATTTTAAACAAAGACTAATTCTTCTTTGTGCTACAGTAAATCTGCACTGTCTTGCACCTCTAAAGCAGCAATCATGAGATGTGGCTTTTTGAATCACAGTGTTACCTCTGGCCTCTGCAAGGAAGCCCTATAAGTCTAGAGTGGGTCACTTATGGTTGTTTTAGCAGAAAGTGCTCTGCTATATGAAAGGAGCTAAGAGATTTGGTGTGAGACTCAGGGAGACCTAGAAGCAAGGGAGATCTCTGTCACACAGCTGCCACCACCCCTGCCAGCAGAGCATCTCTTGAAATCTGCACCTGCGTCAGCAGGGAGTCTGCAAAGCAGAATTCCTCTTTTCCTCCTGATTTCCTGCCTGGCAGGTTGCCGTGCGCTGTGGTGCTGGTGAGTTTGTGTACTGTGGGGACCGTAGCAGTTACCAGGAGGTATGGAATAGTCAGAAAAGGAAAATGATGAGGCTTCTTTGCACTGAAGGTCAGGAGTGGGGCAGGCTGGGGGAGGCCAGCCACGCCCGTGAGCACTCACAGCCCCCTCAGCTCCTAGGGATGTTTCCACTGGAGATTTCATTCCCCAAAACTGCTTCTTGCTTCAGGTCAGGCCCCACAAACCTCTTTTCAAGCAATGATTGCTCATGTTTCTCTGGTGACTCTAGGATCGAAGAATACACATGGATGACTAAACTTTGTACAGGCACAATTTGGGGCCCTGTAATGGGAAACAAAACATGGGAAGCACCATCACGAGTACCTCTCAGGTGCCTGAAGTATTTGCTGCTCAATTCGCCAGTCTGGTGGTAGTTTTTTCCACTTATTTGTCAAGGGCTTTATTCTGTCTGAGGTGGTGCAGCTCTTCTGGTCTGCTGGTCTGCTCCTGTCTTTGTGGGGAGTCCTAATGCCTTTTGGGTTTTGTGGGAAGCAGTGCAAGCTGGCTGTGCCTGCCTGGCTGCACCCCACTAAATTTTGACAATGTTTGGGTACCCACAGCTAAATTTATTGGATGAGAAAAGCTCACAGAGTTACATTTTTTATTATGTGAAAAGTGTAATCTGCTCAGGGCGTAGAGACCCAAATTAGTGCCATGCTGAGACCCAGCAGAACTCCTATCTAGAAGCCAATGAAAACAGATATGAAGATTTATTTTAGCCAATTGCCCAATCTACATGTTGCCAAAACTCAACTAAATGTGAAGGTGGTTAAATACCTTTGTGCAGTTCCTCTCAAGTGCCCTTTGCCAACCCAGGTGTGGGGGTGGTGCTTGTCCTGGGGGAGGACTGGAGGGACATGGGTCAGGAGGTACCCAGTCCTAGGAGCTAGCTGATATTTTGAGAGAGGGATGGGGAGAAGGAAATAACAAGTGTACCCTCCAGAGCAAAAGCAAAGTGGCAACTCGAGTGGGTTTTTTGCTGCATATAAGTGTGTTTGTGTGTGTGTGAGCAGACAGTGTGCAGCAGAATGATGGGAATGCGGATCAGTAGTGCGAGCAGAGGGTCTGGTGCACTCTCACAGCCCCTGGATTAGGGGGAGAAAGCACAGGAGAGAGCAGCAGGCACCAGGCTGCTGGATCCCTCTGGCTGGGGTCCCTCCACAGCACAGGAGTGGGCAGGAGGGCCTGTGGATAACCCTCCTGCACTGCACCTGAGAGTGCAAGGAGGGATAATGCACCTGGGCTCTGGGGCCTCATCCTGGGAGGTGCCATCTCTGCCACCCCTCTGAAGGGAGGGGGACCAACAGCCCTCTGGACGGGACCCCCTCACCCCTGAGGTTGCTGCTGGAGCCCGGTGACCCTCAGGGCTCTCCCTCTTGTCCCTTGCACACAGGAAGATGTAAAGCTCCCTCCGACTGGGACCCCAAGCTGCAGTTTACCCCAAACCAGAGGAGTTACGCCTTGAACCAGCTGGTGCAGCTGAGCTGTGCTGGGAAGTCTATGCCATCAGTCCCCCAGATCAGATGCATTTCCAGCGGGACCCAGGCCCTGTGGAATGAGACTGCCACCTGCAAGGGTAAGCACAGCCCTGCATCACCCTGACCTGGGGTCCTGACCTGCCATCAGACCCTCTGTGACATGGTCATGCTTCAGCCCCCACTGGGCAATAGTCTGGGAACAGGAGACCTGGATACTTTGGCTTTCCTCTGTGTCCTGAAGTGATGGGGCTCTTTTTGTCCCAGCACCCTGCTGTGAGTGCCTGCTGGGATCTGTGCTCCTTGGGAGGGGTTCAAAGGCAGGAACAAGGGTCCCTGCACTGGGGCTACTGTGCCTTCAAACAATGCCTGGGCATATGCCAAGGTGGTGGGAGTGGTAGGAACTCTGTGTGAAGACAGAGTTCAGTTCCTGGAGTGGGGAAGCCTACAAGTCTGTAGGCATGAATGGGACCGCTCTTGGGGTGGCATGCTGCCACCATTAACTCTGTTCTAGGCTGCAAGAGAGGGATTTAGAGTTGAATGTGGTAACCAAAGGAGCTGGACACTGTCAAAACCAGGACAAGAGATCAAAGCAGACCTCTTCCCATCCTACTTACACCTGCTCTTTCTCCTCTCCTCTGTGCAGAGAGATGCCAGAAGCCCCAGTGGGTCTCAAAGCTCCACTTTACCCCAAAACAGAATTTTTACTGGCTGAAGGAGGAGGTGACACTGAGCTGCTTTGAGAAAGACCCTCCTCCCCTTGCTGTGATGAGATGTGCAAATGGGACTTCTCCAGGTTGGAGGCGTGCTTGGGAGGTGAAGGACATCCAGGGAACATGGCACAAGTTGGCAGAGAGACTGAACTGCAGCACAGGTAAGTTAGGAAGCGGTAAGTCTCCCCTGCTACATGCACTTCTCTCTGTGGAGGGACCTGGACATCCTGCCATATCTGTGAGAAGCCTTGGACACAGCTCAAAGACAGGTCCCAGTTGGGAGCAGTTTCCAAGAGAAAGGAGAGAGGTAGAAGCTTTCAATGTAGGACAGGTTTCTCTGTCCCTGCATCTCCTCCCAGTCTATTCCTGAGTTGTAGGCCATGGGGAAGTTGGAGGAGGATAGATCCTGCCCCTCAGTTCACCTCTCTCCTAGTGTCCTGTATCACTTCCTTACCCAGCCACTTGCTCCTTCCCTGCACTTGAGGACCCTTGGGTTTCCTTATGGTATTGAATGATGATGGAACAGCCAATCATGGAAAAACCTTGGTGCCCCTCCTGCCTGAGCACCTCCTGTCTGAGAAGTACTCTCACACGTTCTCCCTGACAGAAAATTGCACAAAACCTGAGTGGGATGAACAACTCAAGTTTCCAGAAAACAACAGTGAATTCCCACAGAATGATCATCTGCAACTGACATGCCCTAAAGATCTCAAGCCATCCTTCTCTGAGGTCAAATGTGCAAAGGAACTTCAGGAAGTGAATTCTGGAAAACCATCCTATAGACAGGCCTGGTGGGGCAGGAAGAGCACAAATGCCTGGATGCGCATTGAGGGGGGCGTACAGTGCCTTGGTAAGTGAGGCTGCAGCAGCTCTCCCCTTTCTCCTCTGTACCTTCACCCTCAACAGCCCAGCTCAGCAGCAGGCACACCACAGTCCCTCCTTGCTGCTGTGGTGCTTGTGCAAACTGGTGAAGAGGACAGCCCAGCCAGGAGACAACAGACAAGGTAGTACCAGCCCGGCAAGCTGACAGCTCCTGCAGTGGTTCCTGAGCGGGCCAGATGTGGGGCCCACAGATGGGACTCCAGGCCTGGGGCAGGATCCAAGACCAGCACAGAGGTGCCAAAAGGGGTTCCATGATCCTCAGTGTGCCTCCACGTGCCACCCTGGAGTGCACAGGTCTGCTTGTTCCCCTGCCTGCCCATGCATGAGGGATCCTGGGAATGTCTGCAGGAGTGGAGGGGACTGAAGGGAACCCTGACTGCCCAGGGCTGGCTCAGCCCTTGCTGTTGGTACTGGAGGCTGTATGGGATGAAGCTGGGGGAAGAGAAATGCCCTCTGTGAGGTGGTGGGGACGCAGGACTGTCGCAGGCAGGGACAGAGCTGTGCTCAGTGTGGGCATGGCAGTACTTGGGCAGTCCAGTGCTCAGGAAAGGTGTGCAGGGAGAGATAACTTGGGAACCTCCCTGCCTGGGCCTGTGGGAGATGGATAGGAGTGTCCACAGACAGAGGTGGGTGGATGGGAGAGCTTCATGGATGGTTGATCCTTCATGCTTCATGTGAACAAGAAAAGCCCCCTCCAAAAATACCTTGGATAACATCCTGGGAGATAGATGTGACACCTTTCCCCTCCCTTCATTGACTGGATGGATTACTGGGGATTTCTCTCCCACCACTCACCCATACTCCACCTCATCAACTCCCAGCCCAAATACTTTTTCCTCTGCCAGGAATGTGCCAAAGACCCCAGAGCGACTCCAAACTCCAGCTGATACCAGACCAGGAGAATTACATGGAGGATGAGGAAGTGCTGCTGAGCTGTCCGGAGGGTTTCCAGCCATCTTTCACCAAAATCAAATGTTGGAGCGAAGTCGAGTTCCCCATTCATAGGAAACCTGTGTCTTGGTGGGGAAATAACACCAAAGGTGTCTGGACCCACATTCCCCCCTATGTGATGTGCAACGGTAAGGCAGGACTGAGGAGCAGGATAGTCCTTTGCAAGGGTAGGATGCTGGGAATGTGTCTGAGTCAGAGCCAGCATGGGAACTTTGTGGTTTTACACTGAGGCCCATGCTGTGAGACTGGTGACTGTGGAAGCAGCTCTTGCTTCCAGGCCAGGATGAAGTGTCTCCTGTTGTGTTCTCCCATGGCACCAAAGGGTGACTGCAGCCACACACCTCAGAGGGTGTGAGGGCAGAAGGACCCATTTGATCCTTCCTGTGAGATGTGATGTAGCCCGACTAGGGGCACACTGTCCTGGCTTCCCTCTATTTCCCACCACAGTGTCCTAAGGTTTGAATGAACAGGCACAGTTGCCTCAGTGCAGAAATCCTCTCAAAAGTTCACATTCAGCATCCCAGTGAGTCATGACCCCAAACTCCTCCTACTCCGCTACCAGAGAGCTGGAGTGACCAATATACACCCTATCCCCCACTGTGCCTGGAGGACACTGTGCCTGCTGAGAACAGAGCAAGAGGGAACCTGCTGCCGCTTTGTCACCTGGATGGGCCGGGCTGGGGTCAGTGGCTGGTGCCTGTGCATGGGGTGGGGCACGGCCGTGTGCCAGTGGGACAGAGCTGCTGGTTGTGCTGCTCAGATGGGCATCTCTGGCCTTCTGCCATCAGGCTTGTTTGAGAGCAAAGCCTGACCAGGAGTGGCTTGTCACCAGCATTCGCCTCTGGGGCTGTTCAGAAGATGCTTTGAACTTTCTGACATCCCTTGTGTGCCCCTCTGGGAGAAAGGAGATTGCATTTTAAGCACTTTCAGGCCTCACAGAGCCCCTTGCAGAGGCTCAAACAGGCAAGGGCTCCTTCCAAGGGCCAGCATTCTTGTCTGGAGGAATTGTTGCCACAAAGGCTCTCCCTGCAGCATTTGACAAACGGCTGGGAAAAGCTGTGCCTGCTCAGCCTAAAGGATGGTGAATTTGGTGAGGAGAGGATATGAAGGAAGAGGGCTTGTGTCAGGAAAAAGGGGCAGGAGCTTTGCTAAAGCAGGGGATGTGAATGGAGAAGGCCTTGCTCCTCCCCATGTCCCACTGTACAGTGGTGTGGGGCAGAAGGAGAGTAGCCAAAAGACTGACTGAGTCAGAACAGGGAGCCCAGAAGTGTAACAGGGGCTTCTCTGATCCCTGTGGTAGGGATGAGCCATGGCTGAAGAGACATACATCCCAGCAGGACAGGTGGTACCATCAAGTGCAGCTTGAGCTGGGATGGGTGACATGCCTGAAGGAGATGTTGGAGGGAGTCTCCCAGTGCAGAGCTGATTGTCCTGGCAATCTCCTTCCTGTGGGCTATGGAGGAGGAAATAGAATGTCCCCAGAGGTGATGCTGAATGGGGGAGGTTCATAGATGAGGGATCCTTCACACTGAGGGATCCTGCCCCACATCCTCAGGATGTTGGGAGGGGGCACAAGGAAAGCCCCCTCCCAACATCCTGAGGTGGATGTGTCACTTTGCCTCTCCCTTCAGGGGCTGGAGGGACAGCTGGGCATTTATCTCCCACCACACACCCATACCCCAGCACCCTCCAGCCCAACTAACACCCACTTTCACCTCTGCCAGAAACGTGCCAAAGGCCCCCTTGGGCCTCCATCTTCCAGCTGGCACCAGACCAGGAGAGCTACAGGAAGAACGAAGAAGTGATGCTGAGCTGCCCCGAAGGTTTCCAGCCATCCTTCACCCATGTCAAATGTTCGAGTGAAGTCCAGTCCTTCATTGATGGGAAACCTGTCTACAGAGAGGTTTGGCTTGGAAGACATACCAGAGGTGCCTGGATCCGCATTCGCTCCAGCATGGAGTGCCTTGGTAAGGCAGGGATGAGGAGCTCTCCTGGCTGCCCTGCCCTGCCCTTCCTGAGCAAGGAAGGCAGCTGTGTGGGCACAGCAGGTTTCTGGCTCTCTGCTGCCTGGGGAAATGGCACGTGCTGCTGAAGGCAGTGTCAAGGCAGCCCCTGAGCCTGCCCTGAGTGCAGCCTGCAGTTCACCCCTGGAGCTGCGGGCAATAAGGGAAGGGGCTCCCCAAGGACTTCTGGTCAAGAGCAAAGCATGGGAGAGTGAGGAGTGGTGGAATTTGTGGTCAGCATGGCATCCCAGAGGGGGCAGGACTGGAGGGCTTTGCTGCCTGTGTCCTCTCAGACTGTGCAGCTGGGAGTACCACAGCTTCCTCTAGGCTCTGTGGCCTACAGGGTGTAGGCTGTAGGCTTGGCACCATGTCCTCACAGCTTGGGGTCTTCCTGTCCCCTCCAAAGGAGAACAGAATAGCACTTGTTGGACTTGCTGGGACACACAGACACCTCAGTTTGGAATCAAGGGGGGAAATTGCCTTGACCTGTAATAGTCCACTCAGTCACTCCCATTCGTTCCTGTCCAAACTCCTCCTGCTGCCCTACCGGAGAGCTGGAGTGACCAGCTTCAGCCTCTTGCTTGCCCTCCCACCAGGCTGGGTGGTGACAGGGCTGTCTGACTTCAGAATCCTTGCAAGGCTGGCAGGGGCAGGAAATACAGTGACTCTTTGTCAATCTTTCTTTCACAGAAGTGTTTCAGGTTGTCCCCAGCACCTTTGAGATCTCCAGCACCAGCATCAAACTGAACTGGACCTGCAGGTTCTCTGGTGCCTGCCAGGGCATGCGGGCCATGTGCCGCCTGGCAGTGCCTTCCTCCCCTCCCTGCGAGGCTGAGGAGGTGGAGGGAGAGGAGATGTTACATGGCCAGGAGGGAACATTCTCCTGCTCCCAGTTGCAGCCCTTCACTGACTACAGTGTCACCATCTTCTTGCACCCCAACACGACCCTTTTCTCATGGTTGTTCAGGACAGAGGAAACAGGTATGTGTACAGAAGTACTGGAGAGAAGGAACAGTCTGAGGTTGTGTCATGGGTAGGGGAAGTGGATAAATGTCCCCTTCATCTGTCAGCTCACCCTGATCATCTGCTCCTTGCAGGGATCAGGGCTGTTTATATCCTGTGGTGTTCTGGGGAAGGGGCTCTGCAGAGCCCTGCAGCAGGCCACATCCCCTCCTTGCTCTCCCAGTCCACACCACACTGTTGCTCTTCCCAGTGCTGCAGCATGTGGGACAAACCCTTGATATGCGGTCCCCATATCCTGTCCCCTGGACAGGAGCTGCCTGCACCCTGCTCTGGGCTCAGCCCCTCCTCATGGGCCCTGCGTCTGACCCTGTTCTCCTGTGCTTCCAGTGCCAGACAAACCAGAGGAACTGTGGTTGGATACCAGCAGAGGGTCCCTGAGGTGGAAGGAGCTGCCCTCCTGCAAAGGGGAGATCATTGGATACCAGGTACCAAGGGGCCACAGGCAGG